GGTTGGCGACCAATTCGGTTGGCAACCACGTTTGTAGGGGTCAGAACGGATTAACCTTATTTACATTGAACATTATGGGGAAATTTGATTCGGCCCGCAACCAATTCGGCTTGCGACCAGAATAGTGGAACGAATTAAGTTCGTGAACCAAGGCACCACTGTACTTTCAAGGTTGTCCTTATTAAATCTGTTATTCAACAAATCTTGATTCTGATACATCAAGCTAGTACAGGGAGAGATCTAAAGATGAGAGTTCCTAGAATTAATCCTCTTCCCCAGTTTAAGGATACCAACATCACAATTCAGACTTCTTCTATCATATTACGTTTGAAGAAAAATGTACTTTTAATATATATGTGGCATAATGTACCTTATAAATATGGTTATAAATACATTTGATAATTAAAACAAAACCCCTTTTATGTAATATAATGCTTTGTTATTTTTTCCCCTAGAATAATAAAAATTAAAGTTAGTTTTTTACTGTCTTAATCTCTGTTAATTAACACAAACCCCCTATTTTTCCTTTTGGATTATACATTCAAATAAACTGAAAACATTCAATTACCTTCTGTCTATTTCCAAATACTGTTAGTTTGTGGAATTTATTTCTTATATTTCTTTAGGGCCTGGGTATTTTTGATACTACTTATTCTATATAGATTCTGATCATTCATTCCAAGGACAAATAATGCCTGCTGAAGGTGCTCAACTATTAAGAGGTGTTACAGGCAAGCCCCCCATCCCCTGGCTCACAAAACAGATGTTCTGTGCAGGAGCTCCCTTTCTCTGGATCCGCTTGTACTTCTTGCCTGTACACATCATACCACACCCCTGGTAGGGTTGTTCTTACTCTCCTGGCCTTCTGGAAGTTGTTAACAACTTGACTAATACAGAAAGTATTTAAGACTTGAGTGATATAGAATAGTAGTATAATTATAACTTTTATTATACTTTTATATTATGTTTGTTATTATTGGATTCACTGCTGCTATTGCTTTTGTACACTGCTTAAATTAGCCTTGAATAAAGCAGTTTATAAATTCACAAAATAGATTTTGAAAAGCAATTACTAAATACATGAAGTATACTTACAAAAAATCATGTTTTTTTAAACTTCCAGGAGCACATTCCTCAAGTTCAGAGGTATACTGAATTGTATCCTATAGAAATTAAAGACGTGTTGAAAAAATTATTGGACATCCATAATGGAATCAGATATCTGAAAAATATGCATAGGAGAATGGTTCCCAGCGGCAGCTTGTAAATGTATTTACTGGAAGGTAATAAGACTTCTGCCACTGTATAGTCATTAAGAGGAATTAACACCATAGTAGAACATGATGTTATAACATGGGCACTTGTAACACGGTCCTAGCCATATGCTCAATGGTTGTAAAAACAGAAGCTCCCTGTGCAGTTCCCATGTTACAAATCATTCAGCAAGCCTCATGTTTTTAATGCTGAATTAATGCCTTCAGATAAGAACACTGGATTTCTCATTTACACATCTTCATTGTACTTTATGATCATCCACTAGCATTTTTAGGAGCTTGTTTTCTACCTTATTGCTAACTGTAGTATCAGATAATGAAAATATTAAAAATATATCCCATATTATCATATTTAGTTTTTATTGCTAGTACTTCACTTTTGCAAAAAATGTATAAAGAAAATAGGAAGAGAAGCACAAGGTTTGTAGAAGGTAGGAGAGTTGTCCTACTTGAAGTCCAAAAGGATTTAAGCAATTAAATGTAAAACATTTACTAAGACAATCTGTTACTGAAACTTAGTCAATACAGCTCTGCAACATTCAGATGCCAGAAAAGGCTATCTAGAGTTTTATGGAGATAGTTCAACCTTGAATGTTTGAATATCGTTTCAGGTTTAGAGTATTTCGTAGATCCCAGTAAGTCAAGAACTCTGACTTGTATCAACAAGTATTTTCAAGTAGTCTGAATTGATAGTTCAAATCTACAGACTACAAATGCACATACAAACAGGAGGGTAAAAGACTTACAAAATCAGCAGTGGAGACATCATTTATGGGATCAAGAATATTTGCTGCATTGAGTAGGTCTTGAACAACTTTGGAAATAATCTTCTTCACTATCATGAATCTATTCTGATTGAAAACAAAATAAAATAGCTGTAGAAAGGCATTTCATAAAAAATCTGTTAGCATTCTTAAGTTGAATGAGCTTTAGACATAAAAGTAAACAAAAATAATAGTATAGTGTTTATTATATAAAATATCTACTATTACAACTTACTAGGGAAGCTGCACTAATACATGGCACCAACTATAATCAATATGACTGGAAATTGATTAAAAACAATGATAGCAATATAATTTTAAAATTATTAAGTATACTTATATAAAACCATGTTACAACAAATACCTCAGCACGTTCTTTTTCTTGCTGTAATTTAAGCCTTCTTTGTAGGACATAAACCTGAAACTTCAAGCTTTGATATTCTTTCTTTAAATGCAGTATAATATCTTGTGCTTCCCTCATTTTACTCTTCTCTTCTTCTAAAGCCAAAGCCAAAGCATGATTATTTGCTTGGAAACTTTTCAGCTGTGCCGACGAATTATCTAGAAAAGATGGATAATTTTAACTTCCAAAATTCTATTTGGGGGTGGGGGGGAGAGAGAGAGAGAATATTAAAATGCTTACCTACAATTTTACTCTTAATAGGTAAAACCTGGTTTGCTTTACCCAGCCTTGCCCATTTTTTATTTCTCTTTTCTTTCATTCGTTCTTTTATATCCTCCAAACTGTCCTTAAATGACTTTTTCAAACATCTTTCTCTAGCCATATTTCACCCTAAAAAATACAGAAACTGTTGTATTTAGACATATTTAAAATGTTACCACTAAAATAAATTGCTGTATTTATTCATTTATAATACCTACATTTTACAGCAATGAAGTATTTTTTACTTTTATGCTTGAGAAAAACCCTATTTAGCATCTTAAAATACTTCTGAGAAATCTCTTCATGAAAGTTTGTTCAACAAGACTTAACAATAAAAAATCTATTTAAAGTTAAAATTTGAAAAATACTGTACAAATTGATTATAATTTGTAGTCTTAGATATTTTCGTATCCATAGCCTCTTTAAGGTGATGGCTAACACAAAGCATTTCTTTAAGCCAACATATTAATATAACCCCATTTAGAAATTGGCAAATTATTCCATTATCAACTGCTAGACACAAATTTCATGACCAGGACGCTGCTTGAATTCTGCAAGAATGTTCTATCAGCTTGTTAATTCCACAGACTGACAATTAGGAATAGAGTTGGACGGTATATTATCAACACAACACAATAAAAATATTGCTGCTTATATAATATAAAAGAACATTAGGCACCAACTGTATCCATGTGGCTCATTTCATTTGAAAGATAAAAAACTGTTTTAGTTTTTCTTATGAATATGCCTTAATATTGCTTTTTCCCCCTTATGATGTTCATAGCACTAGATCTTTACATAGATCAGATGACTGTATCAGGTATGACATGGGAATATTTTGTGACTACTAACAGTCAAGCAAAAGTGCAGTCACTTGTGCAGGTGAATGAAAACAAACCTCAGGTTTCTAGATTTCTTAAAGTAGAGAAACTATCAAATGTAAGTACACTTTTGATACACTAAGACAGCTTGATTTCGTCAGGCACAAAATTGAGTAAAAGCTTCCTTATTTTCAGAAAAAGAACTTCATGGAGAAGGAATTATATCTTTAATCGAGTGACTTCTGCAATAATTTAGGTACACAGCAAAAATCCATAATGCAAATTCATAATCTGAACTGTATTATCTGAAGCACACGATATGAAGTTATATAAATACCACAAAGCTGTAAACTAAAATACACACTTCCCTGTGAGAACCCCCCATTCAATGCAAAGGAGCTTATTTCTAAATTGGCATGCTTGGGATTGCGTTTGGCTATAGTCCCACTGAATTAAACGGGTTTAAAGAAGCAGGTTTGGCTGCGCAAGGAAAGAGTTCTAGGGAAAAACCCGAGTTATTTTAAGCCCTGCTCTCTCAGGAACAGGACGGGATGTTTCTCTATCATCCATGTCCATGCCCTTCCGACTGGGCCCCTCGCAACCACCGCCCGCAAGTCGAGGAACCGCCCGCGACCTTACGGGAATCGAACCCGACTAAGCACCCTTAGCCGGCTCGTTTTCTTCCTCCAGGAGCCTCTTTCTTCACTTCAGGGAAACGCGGGGACGCCGCGGCCGTTAGCTCCCGGCCACTGTTTTCAACTTGCTCGCTGCCCACCACAGCTTCGCTTCCCGCTTGTTCGAAAGTCTCCGCTGCCTGCTCTGATTGGCTGTCCCGGCGCAATTGGAACGAGACGGCGCATGCGCTCTCTCTTGCCCTCCGCCTTTGTTTCCTGATCTATAGATTGAATTTCTCGAAGCTCCTTCCTCTTTTGCTTGTGTTCGCCAAAGCTTTTGACCTTTCTAGCTTTCCGTCTCAGCATCCCTTCACGCGGCATTGGGTTTGGTGTGTAAATAGTTACCTGGCTGTAGCCGAAGGTGCAAGTGGAGGTCGTCCGTGGGATTGTCCAGAGCTGCATTTTCTTCACTGGGTTATTAAATGAGGTACTTCGGTAACAGTGCACTTTCTGCAATAGATTCAGGGCAGATACTCTGAAAAAGATTTCGCGCTTTTTATACTAAAAACACGCATATCTGTTTCCCCCCCCCTCCCTTTTCTCAAAGTTGGAATGAATAGGAA